TGTTTCCTTCCAAATGATCTCGTTTGCTTCCAAATGATGATTTCTACCAAATAACATCAAAACACACAAAACAAATAAAAAGAAATATAAAATAATTAAAAAATTACAATTTCATTAACCGAAAGTACTCAATTCGTAGGTATAAAACTCACTCATCAATACTCCTAAAGAATACTCTCTCCGGTGATTGACTCATTAATAAAAGATCTAGGTCACCGCTACCGTTCCCGAGAGTGTAGTAGGTCACCCAGATCGAACCATTATAATTCTCTGTGTCGGCTCCTTATTTACATTTTTATTATTGATTGTTTTATTTATTACTCATTGACTCTATCCGTTCATACACTTGACTATTAATTTTGCACAAAAACCAATTTGTGCATCATCAGTTTGGCACCGTCTGTGGGAATCGACTAATTTTCCTACTCTTTTGATCCATGACAATCACTACCAGATCAATGAGCCAACAGCCGGGAGACAATAACCCGACCCACTGGGAGGAGGCTCCGCCTCCCCGTGCACCTGTAGAACCATCTATTACTATTACTCCCACTGCTGGACAGCAGCAACAACTCCTCCAAACTATGCAGCTGCTGGTGAATCAAAACCAGCAAATCATCCAACTCATGTTCTCCTAAGGAGGCGTCACCCCTCTCGCAGGAAGAGTCCCACTCCCCTCGCCAGGAGAGAAGCAACTGTCTATCCTTTCTGGGCATCAGGCAGCCCCTCACCATAGGGGCCCTCTCCAGAATGCCCCAAGGCCACACCAGGGCACCCCTCCCCCAATAGTCCCTCCTCAACACGTAGGGAGCTCACATGTTTACCCTCTACACGTACCTGCGCAGGAGAACTAAGAAGAAGAGAGCCAATATGGGGACCGTGGAAGCCAGAACCACCACTCGACAGAGGACGTCCCTATCCAATGGGACGAGAAGATCAGAGAGGTGCAAAACCAACTCGACAATGCCCTCAACGCAATCAAGGCCTAGGCGTCCGAGACAGTGGATTACTTGATAAGACGTATTGATACACCTTTTGTTATTGATATTGTCAATTATCTTCTACCCTCGAAGTTTAACTCGACCACCTGGACACCTACAAATCTCTCATGCAACTCCATAACGTGCCTGAGGAGATTATGTGTAGAGCCTTCCCTGCCTCCTTAAAGGGGTCCGCACATCAATAGTTTATAAAAATCAAGCCCTCATCTATTCACTCATTTGTAGAACTAAGTAGGTCCTTCATCTCCCACTTCATCGGGGGACGTCAACATCAGAAACCTGTGACTCATCTGCTCACCATCAAGCAGGACAGGGATGAAAGCCTTAGAGACTACCTCACCCGTTTCAATGAGGAGGCTCTCCAAATTGAGGAGCCATATGACAAGGTAGCCTTGGCCGCCTTTGTCGCTGGCCTTCGCACCTCCAGTTTTATGTTCTCCGTCCTTAAGAAGTCGCCCTCCAGCATGCCCAAGCTGTTGTCAAGGGCACAGAACTACATAAACGCTAAGGATGTCATCAAGGCCAGACGAGGTGAGTCCTCCTACGGGTGTGAGAAGAGAAAGGATACCCGCGAAGACATGGGAGAAGCAGAGAACAAAAGGAATATGACAGAGAGAGTCTTTGTCAAGGACCGCCTTGGTCCCCCACCTCTGAGAAAGTGACAAGCCTTCACGCCACTCAAGGCTTTCGTGGAGCATATCCTGTTCCAAATACAAGATGATCCTACAGTACGCTGGCCAGAGAAGATGAAGACCTCCCCGAACCGAAGGAGCCTGAACAAGTACTGCCGCTTCCACCGCAACCATGGCCACGACACGAACGACTGTTTTGATCTTGAAAGACAGATCGAGGAGCTCATACAATATCGCCAGTTAAGGCAGTACATTGCTGGCAGAGGGCAAACCCCGCCACCTGGTCAGGACCAGGGTGACAGAGAATGCCAGCAATGCCTCAAAGAAATTCAGACAATCTCCTGAGGGCTAAGAGGAGGAGACGACTCCAAATCCACCAGGAAAGTCTTGGCCCACCTATGGGAAACCGAGCACCTGAAATTTTATCTATCATTTATTGTTTCAGTTAATTTATTTTGTTATTTATTATTATTTTATGAAATAAAACTCTGTGAAGATTATTGTACCCAAATTGTCTTCCTAAAATTTACAAATAGCTTACAAAAGTCAGAACATAACCTAACAACAAGGAAGACAAAAAGATAAAAGGCGTCATCACTAGGCGCCTAGACGAGGGGTCTCGCCCTTTCCACCTTAGGCGCCCCCATGATGTCGCCCAGACAAGGGGTCTCGCCCTCTCCACCTTGGGCACCTCCCATGATACCTTCCAAACGAGGGGTCCACCCTCTCCACCTTGGGTGCCTCTCATGTTTGGACTATGACTCTGTTCTCGCGCAAGTCACCTAATAAGCCTCTATCATGGCAGCCACTTCTCGAGACTATACGTAGCTCGGCCTATGACTCTGTTCTCGCGCAAGTCACCTAGTAAGCCTCTGTCATGGCAGCCACCTCCTGAGACTATACGTAGCTCGGCCTATGACTCTGCTCTAGCGCAAGTCACTTACTAAACCTCTGTCACGACAGTCATCTCCCAAGATTATACATAACTCAGCCTCTATGACTCTGCTCTCGCGCAAGTCCATCTCTCGAGACTATACATAGCTCGGTCTCTATGACTCTACTCACGCACAAGTCTCTGCCATGGCAGCCATCTCTCGAGACTATACGTAGTTCGACCTCAGCTCATGTGGCCCTCTAATGGGACATCCACAGCTCTGATGTTGCTCTCATACAAATAGTCTACCCCTCTCTCCATGTAATCATGTTAGATATTTTAATGTTGAGATAACATTATTTTTGCCAGGCACACTGTTGAAGCTCGGGTCATTTGCAACCAAGCCACTACTAGAAGTAAGGTGAAGTCACAGTCCCTGTAAAAACTACACTGGAGCCTCAACTCCTACAACAGTACAAGGACTAATTCTGATACACACAAAAGCCTCAATCTGGGAAGGAGTGGGGGCACCACCAGATTCCGCTCCCAAGAAACAACCTGGTCATCGAATCTTGGCTGAAAAGCACTGGGGGCATCAAACCTCGCCCTTTTGGGAGGAGGAAAAGACACCACCCTAAAAGCATAAGAGTCTCCACCATCGCTTTATCAACAGGAAGCCTATAATTAGAGACAAAGTCAATTAGTGAGCAAGCACCCGCCGCCAATAACAAGACTCAAGGCGTCCCCCAAACACAGCAGTGCTCAAGGCCTCCTAGTGTCGCCCAAGGCGCCTGACTAGTCTCCTGGCATCACTTGAAGCACCATCATAGTCTCTTCCTGGCGCCGCCCAACGCTTGGCGCCCAAAAGATCCTCTCACTTGACCAGCAAGCGTCGCCCAAGGAAGGAAGCTAAAAAAAAAAAAGAATGATGCAAGGGGCAACGCCTAAAGGAAGCCAAAAAAAAAAGACTGGAGAAGGGCGGCGCCCAACAAGAAGTTAAAAAAATGAAAAAGAGAAAAGGGCAAAGGAGACAACGCCCAACCCAAGCTAGGAAGAAAAAGACAAAAAAAAAAAAAGAGAGAGAGAAGGGAGAAGGCCAGCTAACACGCCAGCCCAAGCCAAGCAAGGAAAAGACAAAAAAAAAAAAAAAAGGAGAAGGAAGGCTACGCCCAGCCCAAACCAAGAGAAGAAAAGAAAAAAGAAATAGGAAGAAAAGTCAACAGAAAGGGCGGCTCCCAACCAGCCCAAGAAGGAAGGAAAAAAAAAGAGAAGAAGAGGAAGCAGCAGCAACAACAGGTGTCGCCCAGAAAAAATAAAAATAAAAATTCCGACTCACCCACATGGAACGAAGCACATGCCCTCGACCCCTTCCTCTCGAAAAAAATTAGAGGCTCGGAACATGGAGGGTAAACGATGAGTCCAAAATTGACTGGGCCAAGCCCAATTAATTTAAACCGAGAAAGCCCAATCACAGTTGGGTCAACCCATCAAAAGGAGTCTCAATTACCGGAGCCTAAGAGGAATTGAACCTGCTCACAAGTTAAGAAGGAGTCAAGTGAAGTCCAAGCCAAAGGCCAACGTCCATGACTTACCTCCCCTGTCCCTCTTCTCCACTCCAATACAAGTCCAAGTCCACACCACTCCAAGCCTAAGCTCAAGATCAGGATCAGCCCAGCTCAAGATTATCCTCCGACAAAATAGGGACACGAGCGAGAAAATATCGAGATGCGGAGATTCATTCTTACTAAGGTTATACTTACCAAGATAGTGGAAGATCCCTTCCTCACGTTACCGCCTCACTGCCTTGGTGTGCCTATATAATAAAAGTCTTCTACATGTAGAGGACAGACTCTCATAGTCTAGAGATCCCTACACATTAATAGGCTCTCATATGCTCTCACCGCCTCACATTCCTACACACACTGCTCTCTCTCTCTCTCTCAAAAGCACTGTAATACTTCTGGAGAATACTCTCTCCGGTGACTTGACTCATTAATAAAAGATTCAAGCCACCGCCGTCGTTTTTAGAGTGGAGTAGGTCATTCGGACCGAACCACTATAATTTTTTGTGTTGACTCCTTATTTACAGTTTTATTATTGATTGTTTTATTTATTGCTCATTGACTCCATCCGTTCATACACTTGACTGTTGATTTTGTACAAAAATCAATTTGTGCATCATCACAATCGACAAATCCCAATTTAAAGAAAAAAAAACTTAAATTTAAATGAAAATAACCTCAAATTAAAAAAAAAAAAAGTAAAGATAACCATTGGATCTTTAAAAAATGGTGAAATTTTAGTATTAAAAATGAGTAAAAATTTGAGAATCCCTTAATTTAAGTAAATAAATGAGTCTTATTTAATTTGGTATAAATTTGAGTCCCAAGTTAAAACGAATTTTTTATATTTTTTTATTTAAATTTTTTATTTAAATCTAAATTTAAAACAAGTTCGCAGATAAACAACTTGGTGAATGGCATATTGCAAAGTGGGTGATAGTCAACAGCGGCCTTCTCAATTTGGAGAAGCTTCGAAAAATCCGTCTCTGTCCGCTTCAAATTCATTGCTGTATACACGATGAATATATATCTATAGGTGGGTACACCTAACCTTTGTGTTGACCGTTGAGAGATAAAAACCCAAAACCATATAGACTAGAGAGCGAGATAGAGGATCGAAGGAATCAAACAGAGAAATGGCGAGCTCATCGGTGGCATTGGAGGATGTACCGTCCGTAGACATGATGACTGAACTTCTCCGCCGCATGAAGTGCTCTTCCAAGCCCGACAAACGCCTCATTCTCGTCGGTATACCCTTTTCCCCTCTACTATCTCATCTGCGTATGAACAGTTTTGAAAAGTTTAGGGTTTGTATTTTGATTATATTTGAGGTTTTAATTTCTGGGTTGGTGTTTGTAGATCTGGAAATGGCGTAGATATATGTCAATTTATGTTTAAATCATGATTATAATTTTGAGTGCTTTATTATAGCGGTTGTGGAATTTGATAAATGTAGCAATGGATTCTTGTTGAATTGTTTTTAAATATGTATCACACTGGGTGTTTATGTTTCAAACTCAGATTACCGATGTTGAAGCCTAATATATAGTAGAAGGGGTTCATACAATCCATATAATTTTCCGAGTTTATGTATTCTTGCTGATTTGTTTGGAATTTCTGCTAATGTTTGTTAAATCTCAAAACTTTTTGCATCAACGTGAATATTTGTGAAGCGTAAACCTCATAAGTTTATGAATTTAATTCTTCCAAATAACAAGTGCTCCAAATTTATGGCCAAGTTAGATCCTCCTTAATTTTTTGCATGAACTGCGCATTAAGTTTTGACTCAATTGTGCCGTGAGTTTCTGTCATTATTCTATGACAGACTCCTACTTTCTTTTTTTGTTTCTTTTCCTGCTGTGTTTTGCTTCCATCCATATAAACCACTGTTTTATCGTACATTGTTCTCTGACTGAAACAAAGATACCAATACTGTGTAGTTGTGTGCATATACATATGGAATCAAGGCTTTATGGTTATCTCTAAATGGTTTCATCAATTATGATATTAATGGATTGTGGTGTTTTAAAGCCACAGTTGATGCTCGCCTTGAGGCTCACTCAAAGGCAGGCAAATCAAGGACATTGGCAAAGCGTAGCTAGGCTTTGCTTAGAGCATAAAAAGGCCACTTTTATTCTGTAGTCTTTCCGGCATATGCTTTGTTGGAGTAACTATATTGGACCTTTTCTAAGTAATAAACTAGGGTGGTTTTATAACTACCAAAGTTAAAGAATATATATGTTTTCCATAATCCATATTTGACCATGTCTTGTACAAGGAGTTGCAAGGGTCTACTTGGTATGGCTGAACCTTTGTCTAATTTTTAAGTTTATGTCCAGTTAATTGGTTGGACTTGGAAAAGGGTGCGAATTGAGCTCGAGTAGTCCTGCCATGGTTTAAAATTGCGGTATCGGTCATCGACTCAAAGAGTCCTAAGGCACATCGGTCGCCGCGGCATGGTATCGGACAATGTTGACCTTAAAAGAATGTTAAACATGACAAAAAATTTTGGACATACTGCGAGTCTGTGGCATCACGGAATCGTATCGGCCGATTCAGTGATGATAACTCGGCAACTTGAGATTGCCTCGGATACAACTCGGCTGAGTCATGCGAGATTCGAGGTTTATACGTATCATGTAACGGTATTGTTTCAAACGGTGCCGACTCGGAAATGACTCAGCCAACTCATATCGGTATTGGCCAATACATTGAACCATGATTCCTGCAAACACTAGGTTCTTTTACCTTTTCATGGAATGAATTTGATGCATAGTATGTACGTACTTTGCAGTCATTCTTGGTTGTCATTTTTAGCAGCCTGAAATGCTGCCAAAGTAACTCTTTTTATGTTTATACAACCTATGATTTTCCTAACTACTATCTTCATATTACTTTGTATCTGTTGCTTTTTTTTTTCAAATGTGAAAAACCGAAATTTTAAAGCTTATGCCTCATGCTTTGAGGCTTTTACCTTTTCTCACGGGGTTAAAATGCCTCAGCTTACGCTTTTGCTTTTAAAACACTCTCGGAGTGCTGCCCCACCAATATTATTTCCTCGTAGGGAAGCTATTCCTTGCATAAGATGAACTTATGTGCCACTTACCCTTATTACTTTGAGTTATGCATTATTTTGGGAGGTAGTTCAGTGAGAAATTGTATGAATGACAGGTCCACCTGGATCTGGAAAAGGAACCCAGTCACCAATCATCAAGGACGAGTACTGTTTGTGCCACTTGGCAACAGGTGATATGCTGAGAGCAGCTGTTGCGGCTAAAACTCCTCTTGGGATTAAGGCTAAAGAAGCAATGGATAAGGTAAGTTCCGGTTGGTTATTCACGATGCAATTTGGATAACCATGTTTGGTCCATTTACTGATTGTTCCTTGGTGATATATTCAAATTTTTTAGGGAGAACTTGTTTCTGACGACTTGGTTGTTGGGATAATCGACGAGGCAATGAAGAAGCCCTCATGTGAAAAGGGATTCATTCTTGATGGTTTTCCGAGGACTGTGGTCCAGGCAGAAAAGGTTGTCTTGCATTATATTATGCATCTCTCTCTCTCTCTCTCTCACTCTCTCTCTCTCTCTCTCTCTCTCTTTCTCTCTCTCTCTCTCTCTCTCTCTCAGAGTATGCCCATGTGTCTTCTTGGGTTCCATCTTCTTTTAGTTTCTAATCCCACCTATTTTCATTTGATTTGATACAGCTTGATGAGATGCTTCAGAAGCAGGGAACTAAAATTGATAAGGTGCTCAACTTTGCAATTGATGATGCTATCTTGGAGGAAAGAATTACTGGCCGTTGGATCCACCCTTCAAGTGGTAGGTCTTACCACATGAAATTTGCACCTCCCAAAGTTCCTGGTGCTGACGATGTAAGTTGATTTCTATTGCATTCCTTTGCATTGTTTCAGTTGCAAATATTTCGGTTTGTTCAGGTCTGAGTTGACTGGTGATTTCATATTAGAACTATTTACCTGACCTTCATGATTTTTCATTTCATAATTTATATGCTTGGAGCAAAACGAATCTGGCAGTGTCATGACTCATGATTGAGATGTGATATTTGTTTTTCTCTTATGCTGAAAGTTTGTAACACAATAGGTGAAAGCTAGCTTCACCAAGCATTTGAAATGGTTCAAATCTAGATGGCATCAATTAAATCATGAAGAAGATGCCAATGAATAATACGATCATGAGGATTGAAATAACTAAAATTAGTAGATCCTAGAAGAAAGTGATTTCATGCTTTCCCTTTAGGTTGCTAAGACCTTGCTAGAAGTTTGCTTGTAGAAACTCTTTAAATTGATGAACTGTTGTCTGATCCCATGACTTTTTACTTTGTTCGTCGAAATGTCTTACTAGATAAATGATTAAGGACTGTCAATGGTATATACTGAACACTTGAGCCATCAAGTTTATTAATGGGCAAAACTAGAAAATGTGGGTGGTTTCAATGGTCCACAAGCAGATCGGCGTATACGGATGCATCTTCTTTATATATGCCTGCACAACTCGAAGTAGCAATTCTCTGTATACAGTTTTATGTGATCTACAAGAGTACCAAAACATGTATGACTGAATTTATAAGCTAGGGCTGGGTTCATTTTGATGCATTTATGGTTTTATTCCTTTCACCTGAAGGTTACTGGAGAGCCTTTAATTCAGCGAAGGGACGACACTGCCGAAGTCCTCAAGTCAAGGTTGGAGGCATTTCACGGGCAAACTAAACCGGTAGGTGTTTATCATTTGATCAAGTTCATCCTGTTAAATAGAGTTTCATAATGATACTCAATTTACGTAATACTTGTATAGTTCGTGTTTGGGACCGTACAGAATAACAGATTGGGAGTAGATAATCACAAATTTTTACATTTTGTTATTACTACTACTTTTTTTTCATGAACTGTTTCATGATACTTTCTCTCTTAGTACTCCACAATAAGCATTGACACATATCTCTCAGTATCAGATTTGCTGCATTGCTCAGTATGTTGATATTTTAGATCACTTATGTGATTATGCTTTTCATATTTTATAAAGAAGGAATTTGTTCTTTTGTGCTGGTGTCGGATGTTTGATTTCAAAGACTATGTTCCTTTGTACCGGGTGAAATAATGTATTGTGTCTGGTGCACAATAAATAGATGGTGGTAGTCATGTAGAAACTAGAATGACATCTCTTGCAGTGGTTAATTTCCATTTTGGCACTTACATGCCATCTGGTTTTTAAGATGAAAGAACTGGTGGTCCAGACCAGAGACCTATTTCAACTGGGTAAAAGACTTTCATTCTGGCTTTTTCCTAGTGTCAAAACAGAGAAGTGGTGCTCTACACATATACATAATGATGTCTTAATCGTTTTCATTGAACATGACTTGCTGCATAATGTAGGGATGGTAGCTAAATTAATAATTAATTATCTAATGATCAACAAATCAATCCTCTTTTGTATATCAGTCTAGGTTCAAATCCTGTAGATGCGTTTGAGCAGCGGCCATGTCGCTGCTGCCTCTTTACCATACAGGCACACATTCAGCCGAAAGTTGCCCATCCAATGTGTAAGTCTGTGGAATCAAACTTCAGCGTTGAACTCAAAACACTTAAGAAATTCTTTTGCCATATTTAACTTTTAAGAGTCCTTTCAGATGAACATTGCCTTGATCTCCCTGCACCCGCATATACAGGTATTCAATTCAATCAAAGACTTTCTTCTGGTTCATCATATTCATAACTGGGATATGGCCTAAAATGATGGGGCATAAATAAGGCCTCATTAGCAAATCCCAGGCATTGCAGATGGTTCTTATTGAATTTAAAAGTCTTGTATGTGTTTGCTTTTGCATTTGTAGACTTATAACTTGGCATTTAGATTGCTAATCTTATAATGAATTCTGTGACATGTAAATATTACTCTAGTTAAATGCAACATGTACCCTCCTCTATCTCTGAGGAGACTTTAGAGTCGAGAAACATTTTATGGCTGCGTGAGATGATAGTATACCTGAAAATTTAAAGGCACATCTGTATTGTGGCAGACCCAAGTGTTTCTATCTAAAATAAAGATCAGTCTTCCATACTCTCTTCTGTGTATTTATCTACCATTGCTCTTCAAATGTGGTTCATTTAGTTATTTTCTTGATTCTAAACCAGCATTCTATATGTTATAAATGCAGGTCGTAGATTATTATGCCAAGAAGGGTGTCGTTGCACAGCTTCATGCAGAGAAACCTCCAAAAGAGGTCACAAATGAGGTTCAGAAGGTTCTGTCTTCCTAAGATGGATTCCAGTCTTTTTCAAACTCAATATTTTTAAAGCCATTCCAATGACCTTTGACTCATCTGTAATCCGATACATTGTCGGATCGGCTGATCTTTTAGTTTTTCCTTCCTATCATTTTTGTTTTCAACTGCGGATCCTGTTCTTGAAGGACCATTGAAATTGTACCACAATAAAAGTCTCCAATCGATGTGAGAATTTTTGTAATAAAATTTGAAGAATAATTTTTATGTGAGGTACTTGCCAACAAAAAAACTTTTATATGAGCTGTTATTCCCTTAGTAAATTGTGGTAGTTTGGTACAATCTGTGTTGGTATCGTTGGTCAGGTTATAATCAGAAAACACCAAGTCAAAGATCAGTGTGAATGTTCTTGGATGTGCCTGTGCACCTGACTACCCACTGCAGATCCTAGTATTTGCTGTCTTGAAATTAGTTTTCAGCAGGCCCTGGCTTTTGCCGCTGTGTGGCGGCGAAACCAGGTGAAGGGTCATATTGGTTGATGGTCTCTTGATTACTCCATGACCTCTAGTTGGAATTGAAATTCACATTGGAGAGACGATTTTTGAACAGGTCTAATTTGAGATGCTGTTGGTAAACCTTTTTGTTACTACTGTTACTGTACATAACATCTGTGAGAGTTGTACTCTTTCTATTAATAATTGTGACAGTTTTTATACTATATGAACCACATTGGGTTCAAATGAGCTTTTGTGAGTTACAATAATTACAATCTTAGCCAGCATCGATACCATAATGACTTGGCTTTGAGGCATTGTTTCTTGTGGACAATGCCACCTTAAATTGATTTTTTAATCTTCATGAGTTACTCACATCTAGTCGCATTGCACCAATATGTGGGAGAGTAACTTTGCTTCTTACCCTTCTTATTTTGAAGTAAAGGATCTAATAGGTTCAATAGTTTTTGCAATCTTCTCTTGCATTAAGATTTTTTATGATCTTAATGTTTTGGGCATCCCTACTAATCTCAAACATACGAAGTATCAAACATTGTTCTTTTGTGAAAACCATGTTCTGAAGGAAAAGGTATGAGCTAGCTTCCGGTAAAACCCAAGTCCAGAGTACATGAACTGTCTCAACAAATTAGAGCCCCTTACTCCTGGATCAGATCCTTCTTTAAAGACCCCCCAATATACGTTGTAGGCTACCAGCAAGCCTAGAACCCAAATTTAACAAGCAGCAACTAAAATTTTGAACTAAAACTGTTAGGTGTTCACTCCATAAAGAAGGAACCCTCCAAAAATTGGCGTATGCCGCTTGTAGCGGCGAACACACGGTATTCTTTAGTAAAAGGCGAAAGAATAGTTCGCTTTGTGCTCACCGCGCAGCTGCGTAATTGAAAATGGCGCTTCCTTGTCGTTTTTATAGCTGCTTCTTTGCTTCCCTACTTTGCTTTGCTACCGATGTGGGATTGCCAACAACACTTCGAAGTGCATTGTTGCTTGGTATCCATTACCGTCCGTGTGCCAGTAAATCTAATAAGCTAGTGAAAATCTGAGCTGGTGCCAGTGAGATCAGTCACGTGTGTATATGGGATTGTTCAAACCAAAGTACCTTTTTCGGATTAGTGGTGGTATTATAATTTTTAACATGGATAAAAATAATAGTTGGTCCTGAATTTTGTATTCAATTTTAATTTGGTTCATAAATTTTCATTTATTATGTCAATAATTCTGAATATGAATCTATTTTGGTGATGTTGTGTATCATTTTTCCACTTGCTGTGAACTAAACAAAAATTCAATAAAAATATATAATTCATCGGTAATGTTCCTTTTTTTTAATATACTGGCAACGCATCACGTGAGTTGAACATGAATAATTTTCTTACATAAAATATTAATAAAAAGCTTTAAGTATATACGTACCTAAATTAAATATCATATCAAATTTATAAAAATTATGTGTTTATCCTGAATTCGAAAAAATTTGTATACTCCCAACGATTCGTTGTTCTAACTATAAGAAACAAAGATAAAAATAATTTATTTTAAAATTTATTTGATTAAGTTTTAACTTATAATTTAGTGAATAAAATAACAACAATTGTCCATATTCTAATCAATGCTTATTTTTTAAGAATAACATAGTCAATTAAAATTTTTTATATATATTAATATTTATACATAGAGAATAGAGAATTAAAAGGTGTGTTGAAGATAATTTGAAGATTTAAACATATAAGAATATGATGGTAATTTAGATATTTAATTATGAAAGGATAAGGTGGTATTTAAAATTTTTTATAAGGATAAAATAGTTAAAAACAATTATTGTTTTATATAGATATAAATATAAATATAATTAAAAACAAGTCTTAGGCTTATGCCCCATTTTCATGGCTCCAATCCTAACAAAAATAGGTGGTATCAATTATCAAAATATCAATTTTGAAACAATAATTGGATGAAATTGAGGTTGAATATGTTCTTTTAGATAATCATGCTTAGATTTGTCAATAATGTTTATGGTTTGGGTGATTGGTTTTGGGGTAGATGAATCACCCGATTTTATAATTTCTCTTTTAATATTTGGCTTATCTCGTACTCCCTAAAACTACTTTTTTTAATACAAAAATCGTGAAAGAAGAACTATATTCAAAACTAAAATTTCAAAGATAGTGCAAGTGGTGGCAGAGACAAATTGTAAATTCAGACGTTCTGAATTCGAATTTAGGCAATCTTTTGAGGTCAAGTTATGACAAATTTATCCTTCATGAATACGCTAGTCCTGACATGGATGGTCTGTCTTTAAGCAGATCAGGAAGAAATTAATCGAAACACGTAAGTTAAGCCAGACATCTCTAAATATTGAAAAAAAAAAAAACTAAAATCAGCAGATCTGTGCTTGGTACTTGGTAGTGTAAAGGGTGGGGGTACGTAGATCTATGCTTGGTGACATGTATGTCTACATCTACAAGTATGAACATGGTTCATAAGTATGCAGACAAAGTAAATGGAAGTATGACATCACCATCCATTGTTTTGTACACTTTTTTGTCATATTTAAACAGAAGGTGATATAATCACCAACTAAGGTGGAAGTTGTCAAACCCAATGAAGAAGGAGACAATGGCGATCAGTTGAGATGCCTTTGGATTCTCATTTAATCAATTACTAGGGACAACTCGTGCCTGAAGGCACGGTGCAACTAAAAAAATTGAACATTAAATTTGAACGCGAAATAATCAAGCACTGAACTGACGGATGACTAATAATTATTACAAATCTACTTATTATTAAGAAACACGTGAATTTAAAGAAAACATGACCTAATTCGTTTTTCGAATTCAATATCACACCCCAATTCTACCATAACAAAATCATTTGTCAATTACCACAACAACATAATCAAATCAACAATAGAATAAAGTTCAACTTTATCCATATAAATCTGCATATATCAAATCCAACCCACAATTACAAACACACATATAATTGGCATTCATATCAGTTCCCAAATAAAAATTTCTACAACAAAAGTCCAAAATCTAAGCAAAACTGAAACAAATCAAAGATAATTTGTTCAATTTTATCCTATGCTTGTGCCAAATCGCACGAAATTTATGGTTCAAGTCAAAAGTAGCTGAAAAGTATAAGATTTGTTCAACATATAAGCCATTTACAAAGATTGTGAAATTAAATGGTAAATAATTAACGATCAATTTTATTAATCAAACGATAAAATTTTGAGTCAAAGAAAACCACAAACAATCTAATAATATAACCTTTTTAACACATGAATTAGTCCAAGAGAATACAATGCAAGTAGAGTCCATCTATGCTTGTTAATAGTTTTTTTCTTTTCTAAAAAACAAAGAAGTGAAACACAAAAAGACTTTAAAATGATCATCTACAGACATTAAAGGATCATACACATTGTACACTGGTTTTTTTTATCGTGGCAATGGCATTCTAAGATAAACATATTCCATCATTAAGTGATGAACCACCGTTAGGATTCCATCTATCGAATAAGGAGTAGTTTCAAAACTATTGAATTTTTTTAATCAAACAGCCCTTGAGCTAAACTTGCACGTAATACATGAAGTACGAATTTCAGTTGGCAAAAAATTTTGAGTCCAAGTGTAACACAGTATTTTTAGAGGCTTTCACTTGCTTTTAATGGCAAAAATTGATTTATTTGCTCAAACATGCAGGATAAAAGCTCATGACTTTACATGTTATAGTGTACAGAGAAGAGACAACAAATAGGTATATTAATACCCTGCAGATCATCATTTAAGCATGAAATCAAATGACCAATATAAAAAGTCAAACACAACAAAATAAAGAAGCACAACCTGAATAACAAGGTAGCTTCATGGAACCCGTTCTTGGTCTACGACAACACCAACTAACAAAAGTTCTAAATTCTAAATTTCACACAAACTAAAGTATCAAAATTATAAATTTCACACAAACCAAGGCAAAGGAATGACAATAAGACAACAAATTAAATAAGCACAACTCGTGAGCAAAGAGGTAGGTAACCTCAATGGTACCAATGGAACAACAATCAATCAATTCGAGGGTGTGTCTGGTAGAACACTCAATCTCCTTCCGAATAACATTGAACAGATATGTACCAAAGCACTGAAGATCTATTATTCAATTCAACCAAGCAAAGAAATGAAAAAGACATATAAAGAAGCACAACTCAGTTTGATGAACAAACAAATGCAAAATTCGTCATGGAAATTAAAAAAAAAATCAAAAACTACAAACCAAGATGTAAATTTCCTCCAGAGAAGCACAACTCGGTTTGATGAACATACAAATGAAAAATTCGTCATGGAAATTAAAAAAAAAAACTCAAAAACTACAAACCAAGAATGTAAATTTCCTCCAAAAAGTAAGAAAAAATTGTTACCTTTGGGAGATGAGGATCGACTTCCTGTGACGGGTAGCATCATCAATAAACAAAATAAAAAATTAGTCATGAAAATAAAAAAAAATCCAAAAACTACAAACCAATAATGTAAATTTTTTCCACAAAATAAGAAAAATCAAAGAAAAAATTGTTACCTTTGGGTCGATCTTTGATCTTCCCGTGACTAGTAACAAAATAAATCTGATCAAAAATCTATACACCCATACAGAAGTGAAATAAAACTCATTTGGTTTATGCGCATAAAAAACGAGGCCATGAAAAAATCAATTGGTTTTCATTTTTCTTACGCGCATGAAAAATGAGGCCAAATCCTCATTGTGGAGGGGGGGGAGGGGTTGGATCCACACCAAACCATATTCTATTATTTTCAAATATTTAGTGCTCAAATCAGATGAAGCTTAAAATATCA